CCTTTAATCCCAGCACTTGGGAGGCAGAGGCAGGCAGATCTTTGTGAGTTCAAGGCCAGCCTGTTCTACAAGAGCTACAGGCTCCAAAGCAACAGAGAAACCCTGTCTTGAAAAACAACAACAACAAAAAAATCATCTTTAGCTGACTTGTGCACACCACACATTCCATACTTATGTTAATGTAGATATATATGCTACCTTTAAAAGTTTGTGTTTTCAGAAAAAAAAAAAGGACCAGACACCAATGAAAACAAGTAGCCCTGGCGATCCAGCCTCTCAAGAGTGGCTCTGTTGCAGTTTCCTCAAAATTCTGTATCCAGAACTACTTCAAAATTGCTAGCTGAGATGGTCCAGTCTCAGACCCTTCCAGCCAGGACTTCAAGCCCTGCACTTTCCCGTGAGCAGAGACTGGACAACAAATCACAGCTAGCTCTCCCAGGACTTGACCATTATCCCAACTATCTCAGGGTCCGCTAAAATGCCATTGCCCCCCAGACAAGAGGAAGCAATTTTAAGAATACAACTCCCACATTCCCAAGAGATGGGGTAGGTGGGTTTTGGTTGGTTGGTGGATTATAAATGTCTGTCATCGTTTAAGGGGGGTTTGTTATATTATTACTGGTTATAGGAAGGGAGGAAACTTAGCAGAGCAGGTTAGATTCAGGGATCTCTTTCTGAAAAGAAAAACGCCTCCCTTTTAATAAAAATGATGGGAAAAGCCAGTCGGTGGTGGTGCATTCCTTTAATTCCAGCACTCAGGAGGCAGAGGCAGGTGGATCTCTATGAGTTCAAGGCCAGTCTGGTCTACAGAGCAAGGTCAGTACAGGCTCTAAAGCTACACAGAGAAACCAAAAAAAGGAAAGAAATGATAGGAAAATGTGTAATTATTGAATCTACTTTTAAACAAACAAGCAAAAAACTAGTCTTAAATATTTTACATTGGTATGAATTTTTGTATATTGATACAAATTTAAGGCTATTTTTGTTCTGCTGAATATGTTTCTAATATTGTTTAAGGTATTGTACCTAGTGGTTTGAAGTCTAAAAGATTGTTTTAGGATAGTATTACAAGTTATAATATAAAATTGTTTAAGTATAAAACTTTAAATCATCGCCGGGCAATGGTGGCGCACGCCTTTAATCCCAGCACTCGGGAGGCAGAGGCAGGCTGATCTCTGTGAGTTCGAGACCAGCCTGGTCTACAGAGCTAGTACCAGGACAGGCTCCAAAGCCACAGAGAAACCCTGTCTCGAAAAACCAAAAAAACAAAAACAAAAAAAAAAAAAACAAAACAAAAAAAAAACTTTAAATCATCAAGATAAGGTAGATAATATGCAAGTTACAAATGGACTGGACACTGTGAATATAATTCTTACCTAATAGCTGTTTTTACTATATACAGTTTTACTATTAAGAGTTAAAACCTTTCCCTTTTTTTTAGACAAAAATGGTGACATGTGGGATATTTATACACTTTATAAAGATATATTGTTGCGATTGGCTTAATAAACAGCTGAGCAGTCAATAGCTAGGCAGGAGGTATAGGCAGGACTTATGGGCAGGGAGAGGCTGGCAGAGACGACACCAATGAGACACAGAGAAGAGTCAGACACACAGGGTGGAAGAAAAATAAAAAGCCACACGAATAGGGCTGGAGAGATGGCTCAGTGGTTAAGAGCACTGACTGCTCTTCAAGAGGTTCTGAGTTCAATTCCCAGCAACCACATGGTGGCTCACAGCCGTCTGTAATGAGATCTGGTGCCCTCTTCTGGCCTGCAAGCATACATGGAGGCAGAATGTTGTATACATAATAAATAAATAAAATCTTAAAAAAAAAAGTAGATTGCTCTCTCTTTCTGCTTCCTTAGCGTGCGCACGCGTTTTCTCTCTCTCTCTCTCTCTCTTCTTTTATCGCTCCTCTCTCCTTTTATCTCTTTTCTCTGTCTTTCTTTCTCCCCCTTCCTTAATAAATACTTATGGCTAAAAAAAAAAAAAAAGTAGATTAATAGAAATGGGCTAATTTAATTATAAGAGCTAGTTAGGAATGAGCCTAAGCTATAAGCTGCACATTCATAATTAATATTGTCTCTGTGTTGTTTTGTGAGCTGACAGTCCTAAGAAAAATCCATCTAAGGGATTCCTCAAACAACTGTCAGTAACTCCAGACCCAGAGGATTCAAGGGCACCAGGTACCAATTTGTTACAGACAGACAGGAGGAGACAAAACCACCCTACACACAAAATAAAACAAACATATCTTTTTTAAAAAGCCACAGAATCACATCTCCTGCACATAAACATAATCTGACTTCTTCCTTTTTTATTTACAACCCATTTGTTGGTCTGTTTGTTGGCATCCTAAGCTACATAACGCTACCTACTGATAACTCAAAGCAAACCAGACAAAGCACCTTTACCATGAACAAGTCATCCCTACAGATGTGTTCTGTGTGAACTATAGTCACACAGGACTGTATAGGCACAAGAAAGACTCTCACTCAACCAATTAACAAGTTCTTTTGCTATCTCTTGGTTCTTTATCTGTGCAGTGTCATATGCTCTGGGACCACCTTTCTATACTTTACCTGTAATCTACAATTAGATTACCCAATAGACAATTTGGAATCTATCCACTAGTAATCTACAGTCAGATACCTAATAGACAATCCAGATCATCTCGTTTCAGTGTAGCAAAAGAAGGTCACCCCTGTAAGAGAAGTATAGTATTGTAACCGAGCCTATAATGTCTGCTGCACCTTCTGCGCAAGCACAGAAGCGACAGACTCTGGGTGGTGAGGTGACCAGTAGAGACCCAGAGCCGTACAAACACCACAGGCCAGAAAGAGGGCGCTGTGGAGGAGCAGAACTTGATTAAGCTCTGGTTCTGGCTTCTAGAGTCTAAGTCCCAGTAAAGAGAGCACAGGCACAACACTGGGTGACGGATGTCACAGCGTCAGGATCACGACTACTAAGCACAGAAGCTGGATCTCAGGTGAGGTCAGAAGGCAGGAATCTAGGAAGAGGCAATAGTAAAGGCAGGCTGTGACTTGCTAAGAATTAGAAAAAGAACTGCCCCCACAGAAAACTCAAAGCGAAACAGATGAAGCATTTTTACCACGATGGAAAGCTATTCCTATGGATGTCTGCTGTGTGAACGGTGAGCCACACGGGATATCTGTTGTATGAACGGTGAGTCATATGGATTCCTGCGGATGTCTGTTGTATGAACGGTGAGTCGCACAGGATTCCTATGAATGTCTGCTGTGTGAATAGTAAGTCACACAGGATCCCCAGGGATGTCTACCGTGTGAAAAGTGAGCCACACAGGATCCCTTTAGGAATATTAACATGGGAAATGGTAATAAAATTTTCAACCTAATACAAACAACAACCTTTGGAATCATTACTCATCCCCACGTCAACATTCTTCTCCCTCTCCATGAGCTGTCGAACTCAATCAAGTCTACCCAGCTCCTACTGCAGCCTCCATTTAGAGCCCGAAGCTATCTGTGAACAACGATGGGCACGAACACAAACGGGGTCCAGAGGGGATTTCAGCTGGAGAACAAAACTGTGAAGGCGATGAACCAGGGACGTAGAAACAAAAGGTCGTTATATTTTTGGGCTCAAACCACCTAGAAATCCAGAGTTTTTAACTCAGTTTTCAGGAGGAACACTCAGTGTCCTGAAACAAACAGGACCTGCTTCACTGAGACACAGGAGATGCTCAAGGAGATGCATGGTCAGATGTAAGAGAAAATCCTAGTTACCCTGGACAACATAAGCCCACACATTCATCAGATTGCCCAGACGGAGCCTCATGTGGAAGGGATGGACACACAGCCAAGCTACAGGGCTATTCCCCAATACCTGCAATCTAAGCAACCGAACTCATAACGGGTAACTGGAGGGCCCCTCATTTCCTTCCTAAAGGTGGGTGATCTTGAGGCTGAGTGGTAGTCCATCTTTTTTCAGGTTTTTGACAAATGATTCAGGTAAGTTTTCTTACCAGTTCAATGGGCAACAACTGTCCTATGTGTCCCTTCGTCCCAGTGTAAGGTCCTCACACTTCAGTGCACATTGCTGGCCTCCCTCAGTGACAACTACTGTGTCTGGATTCAAAGCAGAGCCCAAAGCCTGGCTTGCTAACGTTAGTTCCTGAGCACCTAGAGCACATGCAGGGGGTAAGACTCCATTCTTCTGATACCTGGACCCAAACTGGACACAAGAAAAATCACCACCACCACCACCTTCATCATCATCATCATCATTATCTTCTTCTTCTTCATCATCATCTTCTTCATCACTACTGTCCCCAGAAAGTGCGAGGAAGAGGAAGGAGAAAGGACTGTCGTACATACTACCACAACAAAAGCAGAAAAGGGCATCAGGGAAGAGGAAGTGAGAGGGAAAGACGCTGCTGCGGTGCTGTCGTCTGGAGTCGGTCTCACACCTGAGCTGCACTGACATGCAGAAACACGGTCCCCTGAATTACATTTGAGAAAGGGGGCCACCGGACTCAAGGCTGCTGCTGCTGCTGCTTTCTGAGAGACTGGAATTACATGCAATCAGACGTCAAGGCATAAGGCATGGCTAACAGAAAGAGCAGACACTGCCCAGTCCAAAACGTCACCTTGTGAGCCCCAGTTCTCAAATACAACACTGACCACAGTCTCTGAGATTCATTTTTAATGAGAAACACATGAGCTAGGTCGCAAAAAAAATGCAACTCTTTGGTTTTTGTGCAGACGACAGGATGAGACGGACGGGAAGAAAGGAGCGTACAACACTCAATCTTCACTTTCTCGTGGACCAAAGCCTGGGAGAGTCATGGAGGCAGGGCACATGGCCACCAGAGAGCTAGCAAGCGACACAGGTTAATAACCCAATGACTCCCAGAATTCAACTGAGGTCAGTGCCACACAGCAGTTCTTTCCAAACCATGTTAATTTCTTTCCCTGCACTGCAAACACACACACAGCTCTCCTGCAAATAAATACCTAGGAGAGGTCCGCAGGGAGGAGGGACGTCTGCTGGCAGCACTGGGCGAGCCGGGTGGGAAGGCGGGGCCCCTGCTGCGGGGTCTCTGTCTGGAGGAGCTGACAGGTACTGCTCGGGGACTACTTGGGCGGGCAGGGAAGCCTGGGGAGTTAGCCTGAATGGAGGGTCGTGGGGTGGGGGAAGGTGAAGACCCCCATGGGTGCATGAGAGTGTAGGGTCGATACCTTGGGGATGAGGCTTGGCTTCCAGCCACAGTTCCAGAAGCTGCACTGTGAGGACTGAGGGATGTGGGAGGCACAGCCACCCGGCGGGCTGCCCTGTGAGGACTCGGGGATGCGGGAGGCACAGCCACCTGGCGGGCTGCACTGTGAGGACTCGGGGATGCGGGAGGCACAGCCACCTGGGGGGCTGCACTGTGAGGGCTGAGGGATGTGGGAGGAACAGCCACCTGGCCGGCTGCACTGTGAGGGCTGAGGGATGCAGGAGGCACAGCCACCTGGCGGGCTGCACTGTGAGGACTCGGGGATGCAGGAGGCACAGCAACCTGGGGGGCTGCACGGGAAGGTGAGGCCAAGGATGGACTCAGCCCTGGTGCAAAGCTCCAGAAACTGGCAGCAGGAGCAGGGCTAGTTTCATAGAGGCTAAATTAGTTGGAAAAGGGAGGAAAGAAGAGAAAAATCAAAGAGACACTTGAGATAACTAAGAATGGATAACGTCAGCTTTTAAAGGATAATACAATCATATTATAAATTCTAAAAGTTTAAGTAGATAAGCATTTCAAAAACGACCAGACACTAATTGCTACATTCATGTGGAGGTGCCAATGACCCCTTCCAAAGAATAATGAGCACACAGAGCCATGTGTGTCTAAAATTTAACCTACCAACAACCTAACCAACCACAGAAGGCTAAGAAATTCAATCAAAGAAGGGTAGCACCACCTGCAATGGCCACAGCCACCCTGTCCCGCTCTCCCCGCATGTTAAAGACACTGTAACTTCAACGACACACACATCAACACTGTGGAACGGCTCGCCTCAACATTCTCCACAGCTGTTTTCACTGTCAGTGAGATGTGCAAGAGAATCACACTGACCTAGACAACGAGCTGGCGCCGAAGGAGCCCAGGCTGCAGAACATGGGGCTTGTTCCTGGATTGGAGCCAGTGTTCAGCATGAGATTTCTGTCAGGTGACCGAGCTGCCGTGGCAATAGGCTGAGATGTGGCTGTCAGACTGGCAAACGGATTTTCATCTCGTGTCTGAGTGGACATCATCAGCACTTCCATTAAAATCTGGCCAATCAGATCCTTAAAATCAGAGAACACTGTTGGGAAGGCAGAGCAAAAAGCAGGTTATTCACGGGTTGTCATTTCCACGGTCCTCAATAAGCCAAACAGAACCAGAGCGACGCTGTGCGCTAGGCGGTACTGGGTTCTCAACACTAAAAGGATACTAGCTGAAACCCAAAAAGAGGTCCAGTGTTCTTTCCAGTGATTTCTTTTTCTTTTTTTAATTTATTTTTATTTTATTGGTGTTTTGGCTGTATGCATATCTGTATGAGAGTGTTGGATCCTGGAGTTACAGACAGTTGTGAGCGGCCATGTGAGTGCTGGGAATTGAACCTGGGCCCTAATGAGCTTCAGTGCTCTTGACCGCTCAGCCATCTCTCTAGCCCCTCTTTTTCTTCTAAATATTATTGTACATTTTTCTCTGTGTGTATATATGTGCACACGCATGCCCACGTAGGGATCAGAGGACAACTTTCAGGATATCTTTCCATCCACCATGCAGGTTCTGGCGACAGCACTCAGGCCATTATACCTAGGGGCAGGCATCTCTACCCACTGAGCCATCTCACTGGTTCAGCCCATAGTCATTTACAAGTTTGGGCAAACATACCACAACTGTGTAAGAGGCAACATTAGGGGAAACTGAGCAACCACAGCTGTATAGAGGAAACATCAGAGGAAGCTGAGAGACCACAGCTGTATAGAGGAAACATCAGAGGAAGCTGAGAGACCACAGCTGTATAGAGGAAACATCAGAGGAAGCTGAGAGACCACAGTTGTATAGAGGAAACAGAGGAAGCTGAGCAACCACAGCTGTACAAAGGAAGCTGAGAGACCACAATTGTATAGAGGAAGCATCAGAGGAAGCTGAGCAACCACAGCTGTATAGAGAAAGCATCAGAGGCAGCTGAGCAACCACAGCTGTATAGAGGAAGCAGAGAGACCACAGCTGTATAGAGGAAGCATCAGAGGAAGCTGAGAGACCACAGCTGTATAGAGGAAGCATTAGAGGAAGCAGAGCAACCACAGCTGTATAGAGATGACATCAGAGGAAGCTGAGCAGCCATAGCTGTACAGAGGTAATATTAGAGCAAACTGAGTAAAGGTTATGCAGAAGTTCTCCCTATTTTCCTCAATTTTTTTGTAAATATAAAACTAATCTAAAATTAAATTTTATTTAAACTAAGTTAGAGTGCAGCCAGAGAGCTGCCACAGATGACTGTTTACTGTAGAAAGGAACAGGTCCCTACTAGAGTTGCCCATGCCATACTATGACAAACACAGCAAGGTTAGTGGTTCTCGGCCAACATACACTTCCCAGAAAGTCCAAGCTCCAAAGGTTCTATGAAGGGCTCCATATTCAGTCACCATCTGGTTTCTGGAGCAGATTCCAGTCTAGCTTCTTTCTTGTTCTTTGCAGCCCCTGGTTGATTTGCTGTTGATCTTTAGATATATCCTAGATACCAATAACCAAAGCCCTGATCCGTGTCAGTTTCACCTAGTTAGATGATTAAAAATTATGGTTGATGTGTACAAGGGAATCATGAGAACCTTGGAGTTAAGAGTGAGAGCATTGTGTGGCAAGTCTTTAAAACCTACAGTCGCTTGGCTCTTCCCAGCCAGTTACTAAGACACTAACATCAGAAACCCCCGACCTTCCAGGAACACAAGACTTCCACTGCCCTGAAGAAGGCAGGCCGGGTGGAAAGGGAACTGTAACCGTGATAACAGTGACTGCGCACTGAAAACATCTCTTTAGCACTCCTTATACAAACGCCTTCCTGAAGACTGGGGATAGACATCAATGGGCAAAAGGCGAAAGATACCACGACCCAGACAGCTGTACCCAGCGATGCGGCCCTACTCCTCCTCTACTGCAAATGATTACATTGCGCCACAGTGCCTGCAAAATAGCCTTGGTATAGTTCAGTACAGCTAATCTCTTAAAATAGAATCTAGGGAGACAGCAAAATGTAATTATATTCCATTTTGCTAAGTAATTTAATAAAAAGATCTGGACTGACTATCTACACACGGCTTGGTAAACACTGAGCCTACAGTGACAACGGACCTGCAGTAAGGGCCGAGATCTCCTCAACTGTGGCTGAAGTCAGCAGGCTACAGATACAACAGGTGGTGGTCTCGAGTCCCGGGGCCAGCAAGCATGCTACTTTACAGGGACTAATGTCCTCTCAGAGAGCATTCCACCATAGGCGAAAACATCGCCAGAGACACAGGTGTGTCTCCATCAGAAGCAGCCCCATAACAAAAAGTGTGGTTCCATACCATGGGGACAGAGACCCACAGTCTCACATTCTACACATAGGTACTCGGAGGGGGGCGGGGGGGGGGGGTTAAAAAAAAAAACAGACAAAGAACCCACCTTCTTTTGGGTTCTGTTTAAACTGCGCAGAAAGAGAAGAAAGGAAGATGACATCTCTGTCCCGGTCCTTCCAGGAGACGCGAAAGATCTTACAGACCAGCTGTAAGGCCTGCTCTTCGGACACTTCAGGACCTGAAGAAGGCTCCTAGTGGGAAGATCTGAGTGTTAATGTACAGTAGGAGACAGGAGTTAAGACATTTGATTCCATTTTTATTCTTTTTTTTTTTGGTTTTTCGAGACAGGGTTTCTCTGTGGTTTTTGGAGCCTGTCGTGGAACTAGCTCTTGTAGACCAGGCTGGTCTCGAAACTCACAGAGATCCGCCTGCCTCTGCCTCCCAAGTGCTGGGATTAAAGGCCTGTGCCACCACCGCCTGGCTTTTTATTCATTTATTAACAGGGTTATTAACAGGGATATTTTTAGATGCATAAAACCGTTCAGCTGGGCAGGTGGTACGAGCTGGGAAGCAGAGGCAAATGAATCTCTACAAACACAAAGCAAGTTTCAAGTCATCCAGAGGTCCGCATGGGCTTCTGTGGGCTGGAGGAGGAAGTTACAAAGTCAAGGTCTCATTAAGCTGATGCCATCACTGATGGGAGAGCAGAGGAGGCATTGTCAGGAGTAACCAGGAAGAAGAGGCACAAAGTGTGCCCACGTCATCTACCTGCTGAGTGAGCGCTGCAGAACCAGGCTATGTCCCCGGGACATGAACACTTTCCTCTGAGGAATTTTACAGCCTTTCATGACAGAAGCACTATTACATACAAGAAACTTGAGGAACTTCACAAACAGAGGCCACACCACAAGGAAGCTATTGTCTAAGAACCATCACAAGGTCACCAAAGTAGTTCTGTGAACTTCCTGAATGGAATGTGGTGTACTGGCCTATACACACGTGACACCCAAACCCGTATGGCACCTATACCCACATCCACACCCAAACCCGTCACCCAGTCCAGAGATCAGAGCTCAGATAAAACAGACAGAAAGGCCTCACCAAGTCTACACTTGCTGGTAGATTTTACATGTCCTTGCTTTAATTACTTCAGAATACAGCCAAAGATAAAATGATCTACTGCCTTAGTAAAGACCCACAAAAATTAAATTTCACTGAGGAAAAGCACTGACCTAGTCAGTCGGTGGTGGCACACATCTTTACTCCCTGCAATGAACAAACAGCCAGACAGATCTGTGAACAGCCCAGGCCAGCCAGGGCTGTACAGCAAGATTCTGTCTCAAAAAAAAAAAAAAAAAACCAAACCAAACAAACAAACAAAACGAAAACACAGGGACCCAACCCAAAGACAGGTTGACTGACACTTCCAAGGAAGCCTGGACTACATAGTGAGAACTCTGTGGGGAACGGGGACCACCCAGCAGACTGCAGCTGCCAGAAGGGAACAGAGCGCCGTCCTCCTCCCCACCGACCTTTTCGCTCAGGCTCCTTTTCTCCCGTCGGTCATTCTCATCCACTTCCATGTTTTCAATTCCCGAATCCACATCCACCTGGGACATGCTTCAAGTACAAAAGACAAACAAGGCTTTCATCTTTTTTAAAACTCCCAGCATCAAGGCTATGACAAAATTTAACATATCAACCTGCATTTATCAGGAAAGCAGAATAACACTGGTTCCCTTCTGAAAATCTAAGAGCCCCTCATGTACTGGCATGGAAGCATCCTGTCCGTCTTACGTGCTGGACTCATTCCCCCAAGGTATCATTTCCTTGAGATCACTTTCAAAATCTAAGCTATCAGCAGGATGGATTTTCAGGACGTGCTATTTTTAAACAATGCATGCTGCAAGCAGAGTCATTTGCACTGACTGTCCAGCACCAGGTACTAATCATCCCTTTGACCCCGACAAGAACGATGCTCTGTCATTTGTCTCATTCTCACAAATATGTGGCATTTGGGGTACTCATTTCTATTCCACAGGCAGCCACTCTGTCTCGCCAACCAAAACGTCTCAACAGGTCTTGCTTTGGTCCCATCATGCCTTGCTCTAATTCTAGATCCATACAAATTTCCACTATGATTTCTCCTTGGCGAAAATGTATCAGGGTATTTTATTAAGTTCTATGCTAATTTTCTGGCTTAATATACAAGTCAAAACACATGGCCCTTATGTGTCTGACTCTCATACCTTTCTACCCGATGAGCACATAGAGCCCTATATTTTTCAATTAGATCAAGCTCACTGACTGCACTGCTTAATGTATGCTTCCTCATGTTCATCCTCTCCTTGATCTATTTCTGGCTAAAAAAGACACGTCTGAAGCCCCTGAGGATGGTTTTACATATGACAGGCTTCTCGACACCCTGTCAGCATTCGCTTTACGGCACACTGATGTTATATTACTAAGTGTGTGCACACTTGGAGCTGCCATGGCTGCAGGTAAACTCTTCACAGGAAGCTTCCTTCTGGTCATGAAGCTGGGTTACAAGACACACAAAGGTTTGCCTTTGCGTCCTTCAGCCAATACTGAAACTAGAAGTTTCGGAGGTAAGCAATTCACGAGTCTAAAGTGCATGCTGCTGAGTAGCGTGGCGAATCCTGCACCTGGCTGCACTCTGCCCAGGCCGAAGTCCTCCCTAGGTCACAAAAATCGATGCTAGCTCTCACTTTATTTTTTTTTAAATAAATATTTATTACATATACAGTGTTCTGCTTGCATGTATACTTGCAGGCCAGAAGAGGGCACTCGATCTTACTATAGATGGTTGTGAGCCACCATGTGGTTGCTGGGAATTGAACTCAGGACCTCTGGAAGAGCAGCCAATGCTCTTAACCTCTGAGCCATCTCTCCAGCCCTAGCTCTCACTTTATTTGGCAGCTTGGTTACCAAACCTGGTGTCGCCATCCTAGTCCTCAGGTCACTCTTCCTTTACTCAGCAGTGGCCCCAAAACCCAAGAGGAGTGACATTAAGGAAGCCCAGGGCATAAAATGTGGAAAGAAGGGTCAACTCTGGTACTGCACGGTAGGGCTACAGAGGGAAATAGTAAACACAAGAATCTAAGGGCGCTTGGTCTGATAGCAGCCTTTCTGGCTTACCTGCTGTGGCTGCATTTAACCTTTCTGATTTCTGTCTCACTACTGTTGCACACACTGGTATTATCATTTACACACTGAGATCTAGTCACATGTATCACATGTTTATTGTGAGGCCATTTTGTTTAATCATCCATACCTTATGTCTCATAAAAAGCATCTGGACACTGAACTCAAATTCTGTGGAGAGATGGTACTTGATTATAACTACTAAGCCACCTCTCTAACTCATAAAGACACTTGACTGAGGCAACCGTATAAAGACTATTTCATTCAGAACAGAAAAACTTCTCAACCTAGGAATGAAAATTGGATTCAGTTTGGTAATGACATGGGGTCTCTGGGTTGTCACTTCAGACTACTAGGCTAAAGACTAGCGTGCAGATTTCCCTTCCTCCCAGGGAAGCAGCGAGAACAGATGGTATCAAGTTACCTTTTCTCACAGGAGACGCCGTCGATATCCATGCTCTGGGAACGGGAGAGGGACTGAGACTGTGTCTCAAGGCTGTTGGACGGTGAGCTGCTTAGAGAGCTGACTCCTTCGCTGCTCTGGCTCCGATGGGCAACTCCTACACACGAGAGGCGAGACAGACAAAGGCCCAAGTGACACAATGCAAGCCCAAGAGGAAAGGCAACAGCAACACACACACCCTCACGACGCTTGGTGGTGAGGACTCCTGTCAGCTGACCCCAGGAGTGTCAGCAAGAGATCATGATTGTCATCAGCATCACATACAGTCAGTCATGGTACACGTGGTGCTTGGAATGACTCTCAGACGTTCTAACCGTGGCCCTGGACACAAACTGACAAAACAGCGAGTTGTCTTTTATTTTGCTTTAGTACATTTTATGAGTGTGAGAGAGAGACAGAGAGAAGGTGTGTGCACCTGTGTGTGCCACCTGTGGATGTCAGAGGACAAAGGACAGGAGTCCGTTCTCCCTTTCCACCACGTGAGTTCCACGGATTGAAGGCAGGTGTCTCACCCAGTTAGCCACCTCACCAACCCAACAGTACAAAAAACTCCTGGAATGCACTGGAAATAAGATGCATTACTGAACTGGCAGACGTGCAGAGGAGCCAGCAACAAATGTGCATGCACAATCCAGATGGTGGGAAGGGAGGTGTCTGTGGCCGGTCTTTCGACTTTGCCACAAAACTGAGACTCTCAGACATGTTGAAAATACAGCAGAACTTCACCGCTCCATCTCCTTTCGTACAGATTCGGCCATTTGATGATGGAATATATTGGAGAAAATAAAAAAGTGACACCATCCTTGTCCCCACAGAGCTTACTTACGGTGACATAAAACTGGCATCAGGGCAGAGGGGCAGACTACTTCTCAGAGAACTTTACTCATCAATGTCTTAAAAATTGTTTGTTACAGAACTTTAAAAATCACCTTAGCCAGGTGTGAGGACACACACCTTTAATCCCAGTACTAGGGAGGCAGAGGCAGACGGATCTCTGTGAGTCCTAGGACAGATTGGTCTACAGAGTGAGTTCTAGGACATTTAAGGATACACAGAGAAACCCTGTCTGGGCGGGGGGTAGAACAAAGGCACTCGAGAGTTGACTCTGGCCTTGACTTGGGTATACACAACATAAAAACTTTATTTAGGACAGTGTACTATATATAACAGACTATACATAATAGGAACAAAGCACCATGACATACTGAAAGTACAGCATGTCTGTAGTGTTTTTGTAAGAATTATCTGAATTCACTTTGTCCTGCCCTTCAAAGATCTTTACACCCCAGTTCTCCCCACAATCGATCACATGTGCTCACACCAGGGTTCTCCCCACAATCCATCACATGCGCTCACACCAGGGTTCTCCCCACAATCCATCACATGTGCTCACACCAGGGTTCTCCCCACAATCGATCACATGTGCTCACACCAGGGTTCTCCCCACAATCAATCACCTGCCCCACAATCAATCACATAGCCATCTCTAAACATCACAATGATCTACTTATTTTAAAATTTTACAAAGGTTGGTGGCCCCTTCAGTTTTACTTAGAATAAAAATATCATGACTAACACACATGAAAGCAAAAACAAAATGTCACTCTCTCCTGAAACCTCCCTGTGCAGTTATCACCCTCTTCCACTTCCTGCTAGAGAAATCAGAGTAGAGGAAGTGACCTCTGAGATTAAGACTTTTTTATTCCACCTCCCATCTTCCGAAGATACTAAGGTGAAAGCCCAAGCATAACTTCATCGTGGACATCAACAACCTTCACCTATCAACTTACAAAACGAATCTTTTAAAAGTAAGGACACATGAAGCAAAGGAAACAGAATGCCATGTTTGCTTTTAATACACATGGATTATACACACATGCAAGGGGGCTCGGCTCTTGGCAGGTTCTGGCTGGGGAGGGCCGTGGAAGGCACTTCACACCCTGGGAAAGGCAGACGCTGAAGGAACTAAAATGGGATTAGCTGAGTCCTTCCTCCCCTATCAGCACGGCTCCTCAGCAATAGGCCTGCTCGGATACAAACCACACCAAATGCCCACTTAGGACGACTTACTGCTCAACTTGTTCCGGTGATCCTTTCTCCCTGTCTCTGTCTGTATGTCTGCTTGCCTGTCTGCCTGTCTCTCACATACAGAGGCTTGCTGGGGGAAAAAAATGAATGATAATATTCAGAAGCACCCCAGGGCCAGTGAGATGGCTCAGGGGGAAAAAGACCCTTGCTGCCAAGCCTGACCTGACGACCCAACACGGCAACAACATTCCTCAAAAGGAATAGAAGTAAAATGTTGCTTTCCAACTCGAGACATGCGGCATGGCAAGTAAACACACATACACTCAGGCACACACATACACACAAATAAATGAATAAATAAATGCAAAGAACTGACAAAAGGAACCCAAAACCTTTAAAAACAAACGAGAAAAAAGGAATCAAAGATTTGGGAGGCAGAGGCAGGGGAATCTCTGAGTTCAAGGCCAGCTTGGTCTGCACAGCAAGTTCCAGGACAGCTAGGGACACACAAAGAAACCCTGTCTTGAAAAATCTACCCAAAAAAGGGGGCCGGGTGGAGTTTAGAAAATAGGGGAGGGGGGGCTGGAGAGATGGCTCAGAGGTTAAGAGCATTGCCTGCTCTTCCAAAGGTCCTAAGTTCAATTCCCAGCAACCACATGGTGGCTCACAACCATCTGAAATGAGGTCTGGTGCCCTCTTCTGGCCTGCAGTCATACACACAGACAGAATATTGTATACATAATAAATAAATATAAAAAAAAAAAGAAAAAGAAAATAGGGGAGGGGCTGGAAAGATGGCCCAGTGGTTAAAGGCACTTCCAGAGGGCCAGGATTTGATTCCCAGCACCCACATGGCAGCTCACAACTATCTCCAACTCCAGTTCCAGGGGATGTGGTGCCCTCTTCTGGACTCACAGGCACCAGGCATCCACGAGGTACAGAGACATGCACGCAAATAAAGCACCCCACGCATAAACTAAACACATAAACTAGAATATTTTTTTTATTTTTCAAGATAGGGTTTCTCCGTAGTTCCTGTCCTGGAACTAGCTCTTGTAGACCAGGTGGCCTCGAACTCACAGAGATCCGCCTGCCTCTGCCTCCCAAGTGCTGGGATTAAAGGCATGCGCCACCACCACCTGGCGTAAACTAGAATATTTTTATAAAAGACAGGAATGTGGGCTGATTTTAAAGAGCTCATCCAACCCTGAATTCACCCTCTTCTATAGGTAAAATCACGCTCTCTGATGCCATGATGGGGGTACCTGCTGTAATCCTAGCACTAAGGAGGCAGAGCCAAGTGTCTGGAGTTTGAGTAACAAGACTCTTAAAAATCCAAGAGGGCTGGAGAGATGGCTCAGAGGTTAAGAGCATTGCCTGCTCTTCCAAAGGTCCTGCGTTCAATTCCCAGCAACCACATGGTGGCTCACAACCATCTGTAATGGGGCCTGGTGCCCTCTTCTGGTCTGCTAGCATACACACAAACAGAATATTGTATTCATAATAAATAAATAAATATTTTTTAAAAAATCTAAAAGAAAGGGGCTGAGAACATGGCTCAAACAGTAAAGAACTTGCTGAGTTCAAATTCCCAGGGTCTATGCTTTAAGAAGAAAAGGTTGGGCACAATGCTCACTTGTGAGCTCGTGGAGGGAAAGCAGGAACTCAAGAGTCAGGTGGCTCTCTGGAAGCTAGCTAGCCACTTGGCAGAGTTTTAAGTCTTATCTACGAAAGCCTGTCTCAAAACAAAAGGAAGAAGGTTCCTAAGGAATGACATCTGAGGTTATCCTCCTACTGCCACACACACACACACACACACACACACACACACACACACACGCACGCACATGGAATTTGAGAGCTATTTCTAACTTTATAGAAGCGGCATCAAGCAGGTTTCCATGAACTCTGTAATCTGTCATTTAAGTTAGTGTCACAGTTTATTATCTGTGTAATGATGGGGATAAAGGAGGAAAATCTCTGCCCCTTTCTTTGCTGTCTTCTGGTGTTTGTGTATACAATTGTGTGTGCATGCACACAAAAAGGACACATTTTCCAGGAGCTCTTGTGTTCAGTATTGCTCCTCTGCCTTCACAACACCTGCAAACAGGGTAAAGGAATGCCAGCAGTACCGTGCACAGCTGGCGCCAGATCAGGCTGCAAAGGCTGTCACAGCAGGGATGGCAGGACTATGGAGACAACTGGCGTAGACATGCCTGTCACCAGCAAGACACTGACGACACCTGCTCTGGATTCACAAGGGGATTAATGTGGCCCCAGGAAAACACAACTGCATGCTAAAATGAAATGCTCCAACCAAGAGGAGGAGCCTCCAGGTCTCTGTTCCTCTGCAGCCCTGAGCCTAGGGGCTCTGGCCTGTGTCTCTGCCTCTAGCCAGATTTGCTTTTGTTTATTCCACTTCCTCAGACAGATCTCATTATGTAGCCTCCACTGGTCACAAACTTGAGATCTTCCTGCCTCTGCTTCCCAAGCCTTGGGTTTACAGGCATAAAACCATGCCCTGCTGTTTGTATTTATTTGTTTATTTTGACTGTTTCTACCTTAGCAAATGGAACCCAAGGCCTATTCCACTGGTTGCATGCCCAGCTGCAAGTCAGCTTCTAGACCACATGCAAAACTTTCCTTTTCCCAAGCCTGAACCAAGTATAAGAGGAAAAAGGATTTTAGTATCAGCAAATGGTAACAGAACAAAAGATTACCACTCTGCTATCGCTCCTGGTGCCACTCTTAGGCAAAGGCAACGCACTGCGAAAGAACAGCTTCCACTTAGTTAAATTCACTACTGCCCTAGGACTCTGCTCTGACTTCTGTTCACGCTAAGGTGTGGCAAGACTGAAATAAATACTCGGTGGGGGCTGCATGACTGACGTTACAGCATTTGGCACATCACTAGCAACACCTAGACACACCAAAGCGTCAGATAAAGCCTAACAAGAGAATTCCGGGGAATGAGATGACGCCTGAAGCAAATATACAAGGATTATCCCACTTTCAAAGTTAATAATGCTCTTTTATTTTATTTTTAAAATTTATTTATTTATTACATAA